TTTTTAGCCTCTATTTCTTGTTCCTTCCTGTTGGCAAAGGCCCAGAAAGGGCCAAAGAAAGAAAAGGAAGAACTCCTGTGGTAAACTGACCTTCTCAGAGTAAGGAACATAACAGAGAACACAAACAACCGAAGTGATTGGGTTCTCACCCACGGGCCATATTTCTGACATGACTGATACTGGGTGGGATGGGGGGAATGGAAACACTGGAGTATGGAGTGACAGAAAAGGTTGAATTCACGCATAAGAGAAATCTTGGCACTTGCAAATCTAAATTCAGCAGGGCTGAGATTCATTTGAGTTTGTGGGAAACTTGCTGCTGGACTGCACATAAGTTCAAAAAAAAAAAAAGCCACTCTGTTCATACACCCTGCTCATTCAATTCTTACCAGTTACAATTTCTAGAGCAAAAGAACGAATAATAAGGTACTTGGGAAACTTTGCTCTTTCAACTGTAAAAACATATACAGATTTTTTGTCTCCCTTAACCTGATCTGTATCACAAGGCAGCAAAGAAATGTTTATAGAACAGCTCTTTTTCTTCTCAGGAAAATTAAGGGTCACATTCCAAGATTAATACATTTATATGAATCTCTAGAGAAACCTCAAAATTCCTTTACTCTTATAAAAGGAGAGGGGGGTTTGTGATTGATTAAAGTCTGAGTGCAATTATCTTTCCTCATATTTTCCCCATATGCCTGTGAGTTTGGAGCACAACTGCTTTTACTGAACGCAGAATGCAAACGCTTCTCAGACATTACCAGCTGAGGTGAGACAGGTTATTCGTAACATTAAATTCCCCGATAGCAGGCCAAGAGTCACCTGCAGCCATTCATTTAACATAACATCTCCATGCACAATGCTTCAGTATTTCCTCATTAAAAAGAAAAAAAAAGTATTTTATTGTACAGGGAGGAAGCCTTAGGGTTCGATTTCCTTTCCCATTTCCTCCTTCATTCTCTCCCGCTCGCTAGCAGCAAGTCAAGGCAGGAAAATCAGTTTTGGCACCTACTGCAGACGCAAAGTTCTGACAACTGCATGACTTGCCATCACATGACTTTGGGGGTTCCCAGCATGAAATGGCAGGGCAAGAATACCCGGGTTGTAGTCCCAGTTCTTCCCCTGACTGCTGTGAGTATCTTGGTGCTTCTCACAATCTGTGCTACTAAACAAGGCTTCACACTGTCATTAAGGCAACTAGCATGCACCCATTTGTCTAATAATGTAACTGGGAACTGGCACAAGGTCATAATTTATCTGGGAACTGGCTCATGGTCACTTGAGGTGGGGACCCAAGTCTTGGCTACTTTCTTGCACAGCTTTTGAGGAAAAACATAAGTTGCTTCAGTAACCTGCATTAATCCAGTGCAACTCTGCATCACCCTCTAGCAGCTTGACTCCATACATATCAGGATGTCAAAAATATGGTCTGTGGGTGGGAACCCTATCATCAGAATCATGATGCTGCTCATGGGTCTCGGAGTTGATGCTGACTCACAGGGCCAAGTCTGTGGACCCAATCTGGTGCTTGGGGCCAGTGAGGTCTAATGAGTTTGACACCCTTGATTTCTCTCTCTCTCTCTCACACACTGTGCTCAGGCAATGTGCACTCGCATATTTTCACCTGGAGGTCCTAGGTTCAGGTCCCCAAAGTTACTCCAATAAGAGCTACTGTTACAATCATCTAAGCTCTCTAACCATCATGCAACAGTCTGCTTCAATCTAGAGCAATGAAGACAAGGCAGAAATTCTGATAGTCACTATTCTACAGCTGTTTCTAACGCATGTGTAAAGTAATAGCAATGCATATGCAATCTCTTCTGGCATGGGTTGGTCCACAGAGGGTGAGTGCATTTTTCACCTCTCACAGCTATTTCTGCAGTTGAAGTGGAAAAAGTCTGTGTTGTGGATCTGAAGGTTTCAAATTCTATGCTGTTTCTCATATGAATGCAAGAGCATGCATTTGTGTAAGTGTGAACAGTAAGATCAGGGAGCAGTTGTTGAAATCCTTTTACAGTACATAATTCTATATTTAAAAGTGAATTTGAAGGCTGTACTAGTATTTTTATATTTAATAGTAGCCTTCAGCTACCTGAAGAGTGGTTCCAAAGAGGATGGAGCTGGACTGTTCTAAGGGAGGGAAAATGACGGAACAAGAAGCAATGATCTTAAGTTGCAGCATGGGAAGTTTACGTTAGATATTAAGAAAAACTCTCTCACTAGGAAGGTGGTGAAGCACTGGAACAGGTTACCCAGGGAGACTGTGGAATCTCCATCCTTGGAGGTTTTTAAGAGCCAGCTAGATAAAGCCTTGGCTGGCACGATATAGTTGGGGATGGTCCCACTTTGAGCAGGGGGTTGGACTAGATGACCTGAGGCCCCTGAGACCCTAATTTTCTATGATTCTATCTGGTTTGCTGTTACGCTGTTTGCATTCTGATTAACCAGAGCTGTCCCTTAACAAACAGGTTATGGGAGACTGGGAAAACTGTAAAGGCGACCTTACCTGTGTTTCCCAAGAATGGAAACCTCTACCTGAATAAGCTAAGAAAAGGTCATGCCTTGATTTAACTAAGCTTTCTGCAAAGCCAGCCCATTGTTGTTTTACAGGACTGAATACCAAAACGTGCTGCTAAAGAGCTATGGAATCACTTGTAGGTCACTGGCCTGAATCCCACCCAGCTCAAGAGCGATTAAAGTTGTTCCTATCTCACGTAAGTTTGGGAACAACTTCAGGACACAGGACAACCACCCTATAGGACACGGTAAGCTCCCGCTCACAACTCTAGCACTATGGTTCACACTAGGTTTTACCCCTTGAAAAGCTATAACTTTGCCCATTCTATGTTAGCATTATGGTGCTGTTAATAAGGTAACTGGCTTAAATTAGTATCTCTCTCTGTGGAAAAATCAGAGATCCTCTTTGACCCTGTAAAGTTTCCTACCTGTTGTACTGTGTACATTCACTTTGGGCTATTAAAAAACTTAAAGGAACAGGGAACGCAGATGGCAGATGGTGAATATACCAACCCTGACTGATAAGCCATGGACCTATACTGATAAGAGTCAAATGTTTCAATATGGAGCTAAAAACAGAAAACAGAAGTTAGAACCAGGACAAAAAATTGAAGCAGTCATTCAAGAGAAGTTTACAACCTGCAACAGTCAGCATGTGTTCCTTGTGAACAAAAGCCGGTAACCTGTTTGTTTTTTTTCTAGGTTATAGCCATGAACTAGCAGGACTCTGCAGATATTGAAGTTCTGAACCTCCAGTATGTTTTTGGTTTTTGTTGCTATTTGTAGTGCCAGTCTGGCAACTTTTAAAACAAAAGATATTTGTTCATTGGATCTTGCAGTTATTCTTAGTTGCTGACAATTTTGTAGTGTTTTAAAAATCTTAAAATTCTTTCTGATTTTAAATGAGAAAGGACAACATTCTTCCCCAGTCCTTTGTCTAATTTGCCCCTTAAACAGCACTTTGTGTAGGCCCAGTTTTACTATTTTCTGATGACATTTTCTACGAGTCTTTCACAAGGGAGTGCTGGAGATAAAACATATTTTCCCTAATTGCTGAGATGATTTCCTGTTTTATTTATATACTTTTGTACATCGGTGACTTTTTAAAGAAGGTTGTGGTATCATTAATATTACTGATTTTATGTAGTGAATCCAACAAAAGAAATGAAGCCAGACCTATCAGCAGAGATCCTGGTTTTCCCCGATAAAAAATAATAATAATAAATCGCAAATTCTCTGGTAAAAACCCCCAAATCCATGATTAAAATGAAAGGACCCTCACTCGCCCTCCACAGCCTCCCCTAGCCCTGCTGGTGCCCCTCACTCCCCACCCCCAGCCCCATGCCAGAGGGGGCCCCCAGTTGCCAGGGCCATGGGCAGGGGTCCACAGCCCCCTGCTGGAGGTGGTGGCTGCTGCAGCACAGCAGAACCCAGCTCCTCCCTCCCACCCTGCACTGCCTGCCTGCCTGCTGCAGGATCAGGGGTCGGGCCGGCTCCCTGCTGCTGCATGCACTCTGCAGGGGGCAGGAGGGAACCACACCCCCAAGATCTGTGCGTGGGATGGGAGCAGAGGTGGGTGTGGGCTGCCCACTACAGGCTTGGGCTCCCACCCTGCTGCCCTCCCCTGGGGCCTCCTCCGCATCCAGCAGGTGCAACCCAGCGCTGCAGGGCAGAGTGGAGCCATGCAGGAAAGCCGCTTATCACTGCGAGCCCCGTGCTGCCCTGGTGACATGTCCGCTGGGTGCGTGGCAGCCGCGGGAGTTGTGCCCCTCACTGCAGCCCACACACACAGAGGATGATTTGCCAGGGCAGTGTGGAGCATGCAGCAGCTAGCAGCTGTTGTGCGCGGCCCCGCTCCGCCCTGCAGAACTGGGTTGCACCCACTGAGCTGCAGAGGCCCTTGGGGAGGGCAGTAGGGCAGGGGCCCGAGCCCACTGCAGGCAGCTCACCCCCACCCTGTGCACAGATCTGTGGGGTACAGGTCCCCTCTGCCCTCCACAGTACACGCACAGCCGGGGAGCCGCTCACAGCCTGTCCCGCTCTGCACTGAGGCCCTGCAGCCACACATTGTGGCCCCAGGCCCCTAGCACTGCCTGACTGGTCAACAGCCCCAGCCCTGCCCAACTCCCTCCCTCTCTATGGGGGCCTCAATTTCCACCCCTCCACTTACCTGCAGGAGCTGCTCTCCAAGCAGCCTGGTGGTCACATGCATATACATGCACATGGTGCCCCCCTTGTCTGACCGCCCTCCTCCAGCTTCCTCCAGCCCCTTGCAACTGGAACTCTGCCAGCCAGAGCGCACTTTGCAAAACTGCAAAATCCGCAAGTTTCTCCGGTAAAATAAGAAATCCGTGTTTGCCCCTGGTAAAAGGTAAAAACCATGATTTTCTCTGTTTTCCCATGGGAAACAGAAAACCTGGATCCCTGGCTATCAGCTAGCAGAGTAAAGAAATTAAAACAAACTTTTTAAATAAGTGTCTCACCTCTGCTTAGGATCTTTCTTTAGCAAACCTGACAGAAGAGATTTTGCTTCAGGTGACAAAGTGCGTGGAAATCTAATCTCCTCCATGAGGATGAGTTCAAAGAGCTTCTCATGGTCCTGATTGTAGAAAGGCAGGCGGCCACACATCATTTCATACATTACGACTCCTAAGCCCCACCAGTCCACTGCACGGCCATAATCATTATCTTCCAGCACCTGCAGGAAAAAAATGTATGGAACAGGTTTAACACATGGTTGTACACTGGGAACACACAGAAAAGTCACACAACAGGACCTGTACTTTATATTCATGTTTCCGTATTTCCCAACTGTGTCCACAGGCATGGCATACCTTCTGGAGATCCCTTTGCAAACAACTGACACCAATGCTCACCAATGATTTATCAACAGGGAACGCTCTAGGCAAGGAAGACTGAAAAAAAAAAAGCTAGAGAGCAAACACGCTGTGGCACTCTCCCCCTCCCGTCCCCCTGCACATTACTTCCATGATAAGCATAACCTTCTAAAGCCTAGAGGCTGAGAACCCAAGTCTGTTCTCACATTACAAAGCCAGCTGTTAAATCCTAACTTATTCATTAGAAACCGTTCCAAATGGGATCCCATTTTAAAAACAAGATGCCATTTGGGGAGAGAAGCAGCTGATTATTAACCTGTCGCTTCAAAGCTACAATCATATTTGTTCTGTCTCCATGTCGACTTGTACATTTTCTTTAAGCTTTCTCATACAAAAAAAAGAAGTTAGGTCACAGTGCAAGAAAGACCGTCTGTGCATCGTAAAAGAATTACCCAGCTGAATTTAACTTTAAGGGCCAGAGTTTTCAAACAGCTCAGCTTTGAACATTCTGCTGCAAATCTGGCTTTTATTTTGATATCTTCAAGGAGAGCTGAACTTCTGAAAATCTACTCTCCAGATTTTCAGATGCTCTGCACTCGTAGACAGCCTGAAATCTTTTTGATGTGCAGCTTTTTCTTACTGAACACAAAGATGTCAAGGAAAGAAACAACAACTGCCTTTTTAATTATCAGGGGAAAAAAACCTTCTATTGCAAATGTCTTTTCCTTAATTCTATCCACAGGTTTTAGTTCTATATTCTGGACATGACATCTTTACTCTTCCAAAAAGTCTGCATTTAAACCACCTAATAGTAGCAAGAAATGAAACTGCTGAAGTTTGTTCTTTATTGTCATACAGTGTTCATGGCCGCCCACTTTACAAAGCTACAGTTTGGAATCATTTATATGCAAAAATAGGAGACTTCAGTGGGATTTGGGACCAAAGAACCAGCTGAAGTCAGCAGAGGTTTTGCCACAGGTCTTTAATAAGACAGGACCTGGCCCTTTCTAAGTTTATTCATAGAATCTTCTATAATTCATTCAAAGAGATTCTTTTTAACTTTGTTCCCTTTCTCTTTGGCACAAATTGTTTAGGGCTCTGCCTTAAAAATCATCTGAACCAGGAAAAAGGCCTGCTGTAAAAATCCAAAGGCTGTCAGGTATTAGATTACCCCACACAGGTCTATTTACAGCCTCTCTTGCCGTATGATTCACACCAAACGACAGCTGGTTCTACAGCTGCCCCATATATGTATAAGACCAACACAGCTGCTTGTCTGCCAGGATTCCAGGAGCCAGCCTCATCCTTTATGAGGAATCATGGGCTCTAACTTCGTACTAGATATTGTGTGACAATGCACTTAGCCATACTTCTGAGTCACACCCTTTCAATAAGGGCTTCCTGTTCACACTAACCCACTTGGGTTACTGAAAATAAATTAGACACACTGCCTTCGCATTTTGAAACTGATGTAAGATATATGTTAGAATGGATTAAAAACAAAAAGAAATGAAAAAGCCAAGCCTATGGCAGGTTGCTTGTACATGATACAAGTGCTAGCAAAAAAAAAAAAAAAATCACATTTTCTAATACACAAAATAAACTTCAAGTGATAAATTTGGCCACGCCAACTTGTTAAAAGATTATACTTCATATTCAGATTATTTACTAGAATTTTGCATCTTTTACCTTCACTACATCAGTAACGCAAGCAGCAAAAAGGAAAAATGCTTCTCCCAAACATTAAATTCATGTATATACGGAACAGGACAATAGTGTTACTGTAATGTGAAGTATGTTTGCAGCCGGGAAGGGGAAAACTAGATAAGCAGCAGGAAAAGGCATTACATGCCCATGATTTATTGCAAAATGCCTGATAACTGGGAAGCAGCAAGGTAACAAGGTGATTTAACTTAAATTATATGGATGGTCAATTCATAACAAACAGCTGTGAGATGGAATTTATAAGAGAAGGCGCAACAGCTGTAAACACCACAGCCGTCGATATATCTGACACATCAAAGCCGACGTGGTTCAGTCACTACCATCCATGCACGAGATTCCAATATGAACCTAAAAACAACGATGCAGCAACTGTACAAACATGCTTCTATGTTGGATTCAAGTTACAAATAGAGATGACAAGAAACACCCCTACTTTCAAGGATGCATGACCTTAAAACATACAATACTCGCTTATACACAATTCTCAGCTTTTTCACATGCTGTCAACCAGATGACACAAGCCTTCCGGATTTAAACACTCCGACTCACAGTACAGATCTACAAGTAAGGGAGTTACAGGGATTTGCCCTTCTGGATTGCGACTGAGCCAGTTCATTATAAATACCGAGAGGAAAGTACTAGTGATTAGGTGACCAAAACAGCTAAGTAACTCCACTGTGTGGGGTTCCCCTCAGACAGTCTGTGGCGAGGGAAAAAAAAAAATAATTCTGGTATTTTTTTACAACATGCCACAAAATCCTCAATGAGAGGCTGCAGTTTAACAGTGCTTTTTAAAAAAGATCCTGCCAACCAGAAGTCATATTTGTGAACAAGTTCTCCTTGCTGTGTTATTAATCCCTTTTCCCATCACCCAGTTCTCAAATGGTGGTCCACAGACTACAGCCTGGATTCACTAAGGAGCTTCTGGTGACTCCTTCGGAGCGGGACAAGCAGGATGGGGCTGGCTCCAGCCTACTTTGACAGGTGCCTGGGTTCTTCATAGGAACAGGCAGGCTTATCCTTTATGAGAAAAACAGGAAAACAGCTGGAAAAAGGAGCATACAGCAGCAGCCCCCACTGTCACTGCCTTGAAGCAAGAGAAGCAGGCAGGAGCAATCAGAGAGGACAAGAGCCGTCAGTGGACCAAAAGAGAACACACTCCCCTAGCATTATTTTTTCATAAAAGAAACTACTCTAAGTTGTGCCTTATTTTACTACCACAAAAAGCCTTCACTGTGCATTTCACTCACCCGGGACAAAGGTAAAACAGTTTCACAGGTTGAGGCCTTCCTGCACGAAAACCATGCTCAAGAATGGTGTTAATTTAAAGAACAGAGTTTGTTATAACAACCAAAATAAAGATACCTCTGGGGCAAGATATTCTGGAGTGCCACAGAAAGTTTTCATTGTTGCTCCATCCTTTATACCTTCTTTACAGAGCCCAAAGTCTGTTATTTTTATGTGTCCATCTTTATCCAACATGAGATTCTCCAGCTGAGATGAAAGCCCAAATAAAAAAGGATGATTAGATAGACAGCACAAGCCTTTTGAGCAGGCTTGTCAAATACCTGGATACCTGTACATTATTCTTTTCATTCTTGTTCATAGTGGGATTAGAAATGTGCTGGCTGTCCTAACACACACACACACAAAATACAAATTTACGTTTCCTCAGGTAAATGTTAGGAAAAACATCACATGATGCTTGGGCAGCTGACAGCTATACACTGAGCACATAAGGGGTCTTACTAGACTTAAACTTCTTAAAGTTTATCATCAACAAAAGCACAGATATATCTAAAAAACTGAAACCACTTCGCCTCTCTCTTACTCCAAGCATCCTCACAGTTTAGTATGGATGGAAACCTGCAACAGGGATAAAAATAATAAATCCATTTAAAACTAAGGGATTGATTTATCTTTGGGCCCTGAACATAGTGAATATGCTGTATATTGACTTAAAATTTGGCATTTATCCAGAACTGAGTCAATGCCTATGCTGCTTGTTTCACCCACATCTCAGTTTTCTGTAGGTTCAGGGCAGTGATGGCAGAGCGGGGTTTTTTCAGCAATGCCTAGGGGATTTGGGAGCCTAAAATCCCAGCCACACTCGCTAAATTCATTTTGCAGCAGTCTTAAATGATTCAGCACTTTTCATCTAGATCAGAGGTTCTCAAACTTTGTCATAGTGAGCCTCACTGAGCTATGAAAAAAATGACTGCACCTCCCCTCACCTCTTTTGGGGGAGTGAGGGTGGTTCCCATCTTGGAACTGGAAAAAAAAACCAATCGTATACTAAAAATCAAATATCTACTATAATATTTTTAATTTATTAAAAAATATATTTTGTCCTGATTTACATTTGTTTGTGTAGTATATATAGAGGTGATTGCATAATAGCTAAAATAAAGTCTTACTCTTGTATATTGTGTGAGGGGTATGGGGGGCGATATGTGTGTGTCAGTGGCTGTGAGGTTTGTAGGGGGAGTGGGGGGGGTGTAAGGCAGGTTATGGGTGTGGTGTTTATGGAGTGTGTGTATGGGAGATGTGCACACTGTGCACACATGGGTATGGGGGTGTGTGTGCGTGTCCCCCTGCCATGGCGCACAGCTCTTGCTGCAGCAGCAGGGGGTGGGCCCTTGGGCTGCACATGGCCCTCCCCTCCCCCCGCCCAAACAGCATGCAGATTCGGCTAGTTCCAGGAGACGCATGTGGTGGCAGGGAATGGGGTAGGCCGGCCCAGTTCCATTACATGGGGCTACCAGCAGCTTGTGTAGCTTTCAGACTTGCACGCTGCTGGGGAGGAAGCCCCACGCGATGGAGACAACAGCCTGGCCCCACTCCCTGCCACCACATGCAGGACCCCACCAGGAAGCAAGAAGCAGGGCCAAGCTGGCCTGGCTCCATCGCACAGGGCTCCCTGCCACTTCCAGCCGAGTCCCAGAAGCTGCATGTGGTGGTAGAGAACGGAGAACCCTGCTCGCTCCATCGTGCGGGACTTTTCCCCGGCAGTGCACAAGTCCTGAGAGCTGCACGCAAGCTGCAGGGAGCCCTGCGTGATGGAACTGGGCTGATCTGACCTCTGCACTCCTGCCACCCCACTGAGCACCTGCCAGCCCTGGTCCTGTGCTTCTGCCCAGCTACAGCTTCCCCCTGCCCATCCCAACTTCCCTACTTGCTGCCTGGAGGACTGCAGCAGTGATAGGAGAAGGAGCTGCTGGAAGCTGGGGAAGTTGAGCAGTTTTCCAGCCCTGCCTGGAAGTGGAAAAGCTTGAGAGAGTCCAGAGAAGAGCCACCTGTATGATCAGAGACTTGCAAGGCAAGACATACAAGGAAAGACTGAGGCCTCTTCAGCCTAAAAAGAGAAGGCTGAGAGGAGACTTGGTAGCAGCTTACTGCTGTATCAGGGAAATACATTAAGGGCTCAGCGAGCAACTGTTTACCACAGTCCCCTTGGGGAAAACTAGGAGTAATGGCCACAAACTCCTGGAAGACTGTTTCAGGCTTAACACTAGGAAAAACTTCACAGTCAGGGTGTCCAGTCAGGATGTCCAGAGTGTGGAATAGGCTCCCTCCAGAGATGGTGCAATCGCCTACCCTGGAAATCTTCAAGAGAAGACTGGACGGTCACCTCACTGGGGTCATCTGACCCCAGTTGTCTTTCCTGGCTAGTGCAGGGGGGCTGGACCTGATGATTCTGCGAGGTCCCTTCCAGCCCCTTATAATCTGTGAATCTATGAAGACATGTGCGCTGGCCAGGGCTGGGGCCCTGCTGTGCATGAGGGTGGGAGCGCAGCATGCTGCCCTGGCAGGAGTGGGTGAGGTCTGGTAGGCACCCACCCGCAGACCAGATGAAATTGCCTGGTGGGCTGGATTCGGCCCACGGGCTGTATTTTTGCCCGCCCCAGTCTGATGTGGCACAGTTGCTATGTAACATTAGTATACTAAACACAAGCTTTTTGCATTATTTTATTTTTAGTTATTTTAAAATATATCTAAAATATATAACTTTTTTAAAACTCATCCAACCTCTCCTCAAAAAGACTCACAGCTTGCACCTCCCTTGACATGAGGTCACACCTCCCTAGGGAGTCCCATACCTCATAGTTTGAGAACCACTGATCTAAATTAAGAGCTCTCAATCTTTTTTTTTAACCAACATACTAGCATGAACCCTCAACATTTCTTACAGACCTACCAGTACCCTTACCATCAAACTTCTCATTGGAAGGGAAGCCCTAGTCATAGTTTGCAAGACCAGCAGTTGTCTGGGGAATCAGTAATTCAGATGGCTCCTAAAATGAATGGTGGGCTGAATATCTAGTAGTATCACTTCCCCCACCACTGAAATGCATGCACTTCTGGGGATGAAAAGCAGAAGAGCTTTTTTCCTCCATCAGGAAGGGTAAGTTAGATCCCTCCTCCCCTCAGTAGTAAGCAAGTGAGCAATTATTCAATGTAAATACAAGAGAAACAGGATGTTAGGAGAGCAGAATGTACCCAAGGATCACATTTGTACACTAACAGAGAGAATGTGGCCAAGATGTTCAGCTGATCCTTCACTACTTAGGAGAACTGCCAGTCCCTCTCTCCTAATGAGAGTGGTCAATTTTTAGTTTTACTGCCACTCAAATACACATCTACAACAGCAAAGCACTTCTTTGTGTTCCACTGGGGCACTGGTAGCAAAGGCACCAATATCCTTAACAGGTAGATTATACAAGTGTTGGGTGAAATCTTATAAATTCAGCATATCAAAATTATAACTGCAACAATTCTCTTATATTAAATTCCAGTGGACAGGTTTATTGCAGGGATGTCAAACTGACCCCATGCTGGATCCAGACCATAAAGCTCCATGTGGGCCAGTGGCCAGGAGCAGCTGATAACTATGGCGAGGGCTATACACCACGTGGCTGCAGGCCAAGCAGCCACTCTCAAGTGGTGAGCAAGCAGCAGCAGGGCAAACTGTGGGCCAAGCAACAGTGGGGCAAACAGGCTATGTGGATATACCCTCACTCATGTCCTGCCATCAATGGTCATGTCCAAGGGGCCACGATTCTGTGACAACCCCTGCCCTCTTCTAGATCCACTCCCAAATTCCCTGGCCCATCAGTAGATGTACATTTAACACATCTGGTTTACCATGTTTAAGTGCTATTTTGTAAATTCCCAAAAATAAATAATAGCCCGTGCCAATTTTCACTGGCCTGTGAAATTAGAAGGCTTCTATGTACCTTCAGATCTCTGTAAACCACGTTCTTCTCTGAATGCAGGTAATCCAGTGCTGACACAATCTCAGCTCCATAAAACCGAGCCCGGTCTTCAGAGAAAACGCGTTCTCTTGACAGATGGAAAAACAACTACAACAACAATCATCTGTTACATTTAGAATGCACGTGTTTCTGAACGATGTACGCTACTTTATAGAACATGCTGCTTAGAAGCAGATATTAACCAAGAGAGAAACCTCTCCCCACCCACCCACACACACCTGTGCTCCAAAAGGTTCTAAGCTGTACCCTAAATTAAATGATTAAACATTAATTTAATCTCCTGCGAGTGTACATCTGCTCTATTTGATACTTCATTATGCACCACACATTTAGACATATAAACCAACAGAAAAATCACTCATTTAAAACTACAGCTACATTTTATACCAGACCTGAATGCACAGTTTTAGAAACGCAGGTAAGGTTCTTTGGGTAGATGTGATATCTTTTTAGACGAACTAAATAGTTGGAAAAGTGTTATTTGCAAGCTTTTGGGCACAAACACCCTTACTTGGTCTAATAAGAGATATGACATCTACCCCAAAAACCTTGCCTGCCTAAGTCCTTACACCAATTCAGCTACAACAAACAGCCATGTTTTAGAAAAATGACTTTTTCCTCAACTGGAAAGTTTCCTCATCTGAACGAGTCCTTGTTCTAAAAGCTCTCGTTTTTGTGTACAGGTCTCTCTTCAAAGCACTGTTTTTACATTCTAATATTAAACAAATCCCTAAAGTTTGAACATTGTAGAGCAACCACAAAGCAATGTCAAGATGTAGTGAAGTCAGATGTCAACCTAAAGATATTACTGGAATCTGTATTACTGAGGAAAAGCCTCTGACAACCCTTACTCATAGACCTAAGTCCTGTGAGCACTGCCATTTAACAGGGACTATTAGGGAGAGTTAACATTTGCAGTAAACTCCAAGATTTGCAGGCATGGTCTCTCAGCAAGGGCCACAAAACCAACTATAAATGTAGGTTACAGGAAAATCCAAAAATAACTGAAGGTGGTTCAAATTTTCCTTACCTCTCCTCCATTAGCATACTCCATAACAAAACACAAGCGATCATGCGTCTGGAAGGAATACTTTAAAGCCTGAAACACATTTAAATTAAAACTTAGAGCTGCCACGTCAAGAAAAGTACATTTATAAAAAAGTACATTCCATGAAGTTTTAAGACTAGGTGGAGAGGAAACACCACCTATTGTATTGTATCAACACGGCAGTATCTTCAGTTTTTCAGTAGCGCTTCTCAAACAGGGCTGCAAGGAGCAATTTTTGTTTTTCATTAAAATAATGAATTGGGTCCCATAACATTTTATAACAACTGTCTAAAAAGGTTATAATGCTAAAGGACAAAGCTATCATCTATCAATATTAACTGAAAATCAGCTGATGGCATGAACGTTTCCCCAACACAAGGCTCACAGGCTCTTACAATTTCAACTCCCAGATAAGATACAATCCCACCAAAAGTGGACACAAGCCTTACTGTATTTGCAGCAAAGCCTGGTGTGAAGCAAATACACTTATGTACACTGCTCTGTCCCTTCTGCTCTCTTTGCTGCTGCCACTCCATGACGACAGCTAACTAGAGGATTGAGCAATTCTGTCAATATCAATTTGCCGTCAATTCACAAAAAACGGAACAGGCAGGGGAGAGCCGCAGAATGTCACAAAGTGTCTTTGTACAGTTGCATCATGTGTATTCCCACATCATGAGTGCCAACAGCTTGCTTGCCACATCCTTCATTTGTTTTTATGGGTCATGACCCAGCCTGACAGCTGGGTTTTCAAGACAGCCCTTACTTGAGATGTTTTGCTTTATGCCAGCATGAAAAAGGGGGACGTAGAGCACAATGTCATCATAGCCTACATTACAAGGAGCACTTCTGAATCAGCAATATTTTTTCAGAGAGGAAGATCAGACAGTATTCTGCAATAAAAGTCAACAGGTGCACAAATGACTGTATTTAGGGACTGTACTGGTTTTAGAGACTAAAAGGGTCTCTCTCTAAAGGGATCTTTGTTTTTTCATTAAGTACCAAGCACTCACCAGCTAAATATCAGGACCCTCAACAGCATCTCAATTACTGAACTACCCAGCATTACTAGTCACTGTTGAAAACTAAGGCTCATAAGATTTGTTTTATTACTACAATAAGGAGGAAAGTCATGGCTGTCACAATGCCAAAACGGCTTTACCAACATACTGAAAAAGGAGGAATACTTACTGTTAAGAATGGGTGCCTAGAGTTTTGTAAAACACGGTTTTCTGTCAGCGTGTGTGCTACTTCATCCTGCAATGCCACACAGCAGAAAGCCATCAGTGCAATTCATCTGAGACAACAAGTCCAGTCAAAAGTAACAAGGAAATAAATGGCATGCTACCCAGGGTAAAGCATGTCTTGATGCAACTCCAGAAGCCAGAGTTACATGAGGGATGAACTGAGCCCAGGATGTTCCAGTGTGCTCACCTTTGCTACAATTACTTCCTTCTTCAGAATTTTCATAGCATAATACCGTCCAGTTGCTTTTTCTTTAACTAGAATAACCTTCCCGAAAGTGCCTTTTCCCAGTAGCTTAAGGTATTCAAACTCATTCATGGTCTGTTAATGACAGTAAGGTAAATGCACATCAAAACCAGTTTTGAAATGCCTATGAATGACGACTCAAGAAGATGAAATAGCAACTGAGTTATTACCTGAGAGTTATGAATTTCTTTTAAAATGGTACATATGACTTCTAGTCACTTGAGCAAAAACTCAAGTGGTTTTTCCATAACAGGACATCCGTATTACATTATCCAATAATAAGAATCAAACCCACTAAGTTGCCTGAAAATTCCTTCATTTGAATCAGGCAAAACTGACTGAAAGTCCATAAGGCCATGCGGCCTTTATCACTTGGGTCCCTAGTAGACATTAAAATAATGGCGTGACTGTGTGGCCAAAGAATTTTATGCCCCTCCCTAAACAATGTGTGTTCTGTCATGGCAGACATGCATGGACCAAGGTATGAAGTTTGGGACGGAGCATAAAACTCCTTAGTTTCCAAATCCCATCACTGTGGGGCTGCCTCCAGGCAGGAAGCAATTCAGCTCTAGATCTGCTTCCAGCCCAATACTTCAGGATTGGTCTGGAGGCAGTCTCAGGACCCAGGGCTGTTCAGAGTTGGTGACAAAAATCACCTGATTGTCAACACTGGTGGGACAGCTCTGCTCTGGAAAACAACACATACCACACATTCAATTCAAGGCATGATACAAACCAGCCACGAAGATTTTCTACATTAGATGTAGAACATCTTTGAGGCTAGTTTGCCAACTTATGGCTTTCTAAATTGGCTGAATATGCGGCATGTTTTAATTTATGGTGTGACTAACACCTTGGACACTTGGAAAAAAAAGCTGCCTTGTTTCTCATTCTACAGATCCATGTCCCGTTTTGAGGCTTTGACCTTCTCTATGGGAGATCAGCCTTCCAAAGCGTGGTGTCAGACAGCATGCAGAGGCCATGCTACCATTTGAACTGTCCTCTTGCCTTGTCTCTTGTTTTTTCTCTCTTTATTAAAACAGCTGGTGTAGGAATGAGAACAGTTTGGTCTCAGATACTTTTTGTGGTATTTCTAAGGGGATACCTGTAGGCCTATGTAGCTCTGAATTAATATGGGCTTGCCAGGCAGGATTGAAAATACTCCCAATACCAGCCTTCTCTCTCCCTGGTTGAAAGCATTAATAAATGGACTGCCTGAGAGATGACGTTTGATTGCGTTAATAAAACCAAGAGTGGATTTTTAATGGTTTCAGGACCCAAGTGGTCATTCAGCTGGATCCTGGCTCTCAGGCTCAGGGGGACTTGAATCACCATACCTGAAGAATTTACCTCCGCTTGCTAGCCAAACCATGATGTTCTTTCGTATGTTCCTGGTGCATCCTGCTGGAATGCTCCAGCAAAATCTTGCTGACACACTAAGCAGAGGACAGTCAGGATCAATGGGCGCTGTATCTCAGAGTGACAAGCGAATATAGTTGCACACAATGGCATAAATTAATTTTCTGAATGAACACCTAGAGTACAAGCTTGAGGGTGAACACAGTTTCTCAGTAAAAGTTTATTGGCTCAGCTCATGTCCCTAGAACACAAACACTATTTTGGAAGCAAATGGGGATTACAATGCTGAGGGCAAGACACGGGGCAAGAAAGCAAGCAGTACTCTAATTCACAGGTACAGGATCTCCTCATCAGCAAACAACATTAGGGAGGGGAAGGGGGAAAGAAGGGAGTTGTATATTGATGGCTACTGCTCATTTGCATTCAAGGCATACCTACTAGTACCCTTGCCCCTATTCAGAATCAAAAGGATTACTGGCAGACAGCTGACACTGGATTCAATAAAGCCTGGGGCTGTCAGCAGCAAGGTGTGTTCTCATAACAAGGCCCCTATTCAAATATTATTCCTGCTATGCTCACTTACCACTTTATGTTTTGGTTTGGTCATAGAAACTTCCATTTCTTCAGCACCTGAATTATCACTGGGAGAACCAGATCTAAAATCCATCATTTCTTCCTCCTGCTTCTTAAGGCTATCTGCTACTGTTTGGATGGCTTTTGTCCATTCTTCCCTGAGAAAATGTAAGCAATGACATTTGTTACTCACAACTTCAGACTACCATCTGCCATGGCAAGGGTCACAAAAGAATAAAGAGTGACTGACATTATCAGATGAACCAATCTGCTGAATGCAAAAAAAACCCACGTGCTTTTAGACATAGTAAGAACTCATGCTCAAAACCACTTTTACTGGATATGTTGATCAAACATATTAGAAACAAAAGATAAGTCCCAGTAGTACGATAGCAGTAACTAGCTCCTTCAAGAAAGAACACTTTTAAAATTCATATTCAGGCTTTAGGACAACATGTTACCCATGCTATAAAGGACTGACCCTCTCAACAAACAGGCCAGCCAAAACCAAAAAGCTACACAGCAAATGCACAGCACAGAGTAATTTAAACACTTTGGCCTGTTCCTCACAAGACACTGCAATATAAATATGCAAGTGATAGGCATACAGTGACAAATCCTCATATATTCATCCCATTCTCTAATCAATGCAGATGTTCCAGGACTATAAAACTCTGCCCATGTTTTCTGAACTGTCAGCGGGCAGTAAATTTGCTGCTATGCTAGGGTAAAATGCAGTCAGAGCATGTTCAACAAAAGAGAATGCTCCTTCACTGCTTTTTCTAACTAGCATTTTTATCTTAGATGCAGGGATTGGGTTACATGAAAGCTCCACAGCTGCATCAGCAATGGCTGCTGACCCCTCCTATTCCTACAGAGACAGCTCCAGTGAAAGTATCCTTTGGGGAATTTTACATTGTAAGAAGCTACTGAAGTGAATGTTCTTGCCATTCAGTTCATTTCACTGCAAGTCTACCAAAAATACAACTCGCCTATCACACAATAGCTTATTTTACATTTGTATTTATAAACATTTCAGGCCTTTTGTCCCAGTTTGCCGGGAAAGGCTGGAACAAAAAAAAGAGAGAGAGAGAAGACACAAAACTGATTAACTTCATCAATTAGAAAAATGAGAAAAATACATACACAGCTAAAGTTTGTACCCGAAAGCTTGCAAAGAAGAATTTTTCCAACTATTTGAGTTGGTCTAACAAAAGATATCAGATTTATACCCAAAGAACCTTGCCTATACACAAATAAAAGCATTTTCCCTGCCATCTTTTTAAAATCTTAGTAAGATTCTGATTAACTGCTTCCCTATTTTGGAAAAAAAGGGTCATGTAGGAGACTAGTAACCAACCTCTACTGAACCACAACCTTGTTCCTATTGTGAATGCATGGTAACACCTTTTGGTGTTAAACATGCAAGTGAAATAAAGGGAGGTAAAAATGTCTTATGCCCTCTACCTACCTGGTCAACTTAATAGGTGCTGCAACAGAGCCACTCAATGAAAAAGGCCACGACTGGGTGGAGGTTACCAACAAACTGTAAATAAGTCCAAAGGGTGCACAGTAAGGTGGCCATTCATCCCATTTTATAGAGGACAGTCCGATTTTCTAGCTCTCTGTCTTCTAATGATATGAAACTGGATGCCTTTATGTCCTCTTTTTTTCACCACTCGGCACCACCCTGCCAACACCACTGCGGCCGCCTGCGGGAACTCCCTGCTCAGCCTGCCCCCGCTGCCGCCACCGCCGCGGCTGCCTGCGGGAGCTCCCTGCTCACCACCACCATGCTCCTGTCACTGATACCACCGCCACTGCCTGAGGCTGCTTGCTGTGCCCCCCCCAGCCTTGGGAGGCATTCATGGTGGTGGGGACAGTTGCACTAAATGCACTTGTCCTCTATTCTTGAGGTACCTCAATGGCCACCCTAGTGTACAGTATACTTAGCACCCCTAAATTCCCAGCACTAACAGGTGAAACCCACAAATGGTAGCCAAATATTGTGTATGGCTGCAAAAAGCACTGAAAACTAATATGTAGGGCAATTTATTTCTTTTTTATTAAAGTAAAATTTGCACTTGGTTAGTAATCATCACATGAAGCTAGGATAGAATGGAAAGCAGGAATGTCCTTATTTTCTAAAACTGCTCCCATATTTTCCTCATCTTCTCTCCTTATGAGCCAAACATTCCCGATTAAAAAAAAAAATTTATCCAAAGGGGGGGAAAAAACCCTGAAATTGGTGATTTTTAAAAATCCTCACAGAATGATTGTGTTCTACCATTGTTGTACTCCACAGTCCCTCGATTCAAGGATGCTCTCTACTATGGCTCACTGATGGGTCTTTAAGTGACTTAAGTTACAGTCCTTTAGTCACCGACCAGTCTGCACAAGATGGTCTTTCTGTAGCAAAGGATAGACCGTATGCCAGGATCTCTCTCCATTTCCTTCCACCACTCTATTCTCTGCTTTGAAGGCAGGACGCTTCACCTCAAAACAGGCAGATGCTTGGTTGAGGCTGTGCTGCCAGCGGAGTTGGTCAGGAGCCAGCTCCTCCCAAGTCTTGATGTCAGCATCTGATTTCTTGAGGCATCCCCTCAACGTGTCCTTGTAGCTTTTGGCCACTGCGAGATCTTGGGCCATTACTAAGCTGGCAGTAGAGCACTTGTTTTGGGAATGAAGAGTCAGGCATCTGCACACAATGTCCAGTCCAGTGAAGTTGGTGCTTGAGGATCACTGACTCAATGCTGGTAACATTACCTTCAGCAAAGATACTGGCATGTGTGTGGTAATCTTCCCATTTGATGTGGAGAATTTTCCAGAGGCATTGTGGAGATTTATTATAGGCCACTGAATCTGGAAGAGGTGGATGAGGCACTTTTCAAGCAGGTGACAAATTTATCCAAAACCTATGGGATGGTACTGATAAGAGGCTTTAATTATCCAGACATCTGCTGGAAAAACAATGCAGCCAAACATGACATTTCAAGCTGGATCCTAACTTGTGTGGAAGAAAACTTTCTCTTCCAGAAAGTGGAGGATACAACTAGGGGATCAGGTATGTTGGATCTTGTCCTGACCAACAGGGAAGAACTGGTGGAAGATGTGAAGGTAATGGGTAACCTGGGAGGAAGCGATCACAATGCACTAGAATTCTAGATCCTGAGACAGGGAAAATGTGAAGTCAGCAATATCAAGATGCTAGGTTTCAAGAAGGCAGATTTCATTCAACTCAAGGAGCTAACAGGCATGGTGTCATGGGAAGACAGATTGAAGAATAAAGGTGCCCAGGAGAACTGGGAATTCTTAAGGGGCACAGTATTGGAAGCCCAACATGAAACTGTCCCAATACAATGGAAGCACAAGAAGAATGACGAGAGAAAAAAGTGGTTGCACAAGTTTCTTCTGAAATGCCCCAAATGCAAAAGGAAAGCACATAGGCAATGGAAGAATGGGCAGGCCACCAAGGATGCGTAACAGATCACGCAGTAGCAAGAACCTGCAGGGACAAAATCAGGAAGGCCTTCCTTTTCCACATCCTTGTGACAAGGTAGTTTGCAGAATTCACAGACTCCTTTGGAATATGACAGGGCCACACTGTAAGCTTGTGACCTCTGGGCTGTCAGCCATGCACCTTAGCACCTTTGCCACCCCAGCCTCGAATCAGGAAGGTAAAGATAAAGAACGAGCTGCACCTGGCAAAGGTGGTTAAGGGCAGCAAGAAGAGGTTCTGTAAGTATGGTGGCCAGAAAAGAAGGACCAAGGAAGCTATGGGTCCTTTGTTAACAAGCCTGGGGAACTCCTAACCAAAGGTGCAAAGAAAGTGGAGCTACTCAACAGCTACTTTGCCTCAGTCTTCACAAAAAAACTAAGCTGTCAGACATCTAATAGGGATTATCTAGATCAGCAGGCTCCAAACTTTTTTTGATCACGCACCCCTATCATTAAAAGATTTTTGAGCACGCACCACCAATATATGTATATTTATATTTGCGCACCCCTATCAGTAAAAAATTTTTGAGCACGCACTTCCAATATATGTATATTTATATAAATATACATCTAAATAGAAGTGCTAATATTTTCTTCCCACACCCCAATGGATCGTCTTGCGCACCCCACTTTGGAGACCACTGATCTAAATAAGGAAGGGGGCAAGCTGAGGAAGATAACTAAAGAGATGGTCAGAAAGTTTTTGCTGGCTCTGAGTGAATTCAAGTCAGCAGGGCTGGATAAGCTGCATCCCAAGGTCCTAAAGGAACTGGCAGAGATCTCAGAGCCCCTGGCCATGATCTTCATGAAGTTGTGGGAGACAGATCAGGTACCAGAGGACTGGGACACGGCAAACACAGTGACCCTCTTTAAAAAAGGCAAGGATGACTCAGGGAACTACAGACAAGTTAGCCTCACCTCAATACCTGGGAAGCTAGTGGAGCATAGCTTAAAGAAGGCAATTTGCAAGGTGGAGGAAAGGCTGATTGCAAGCAGCCAGCATAGATTTATGAAAAAACAAATCATGTCAAACAAATTGGAGAAATAAACAAATTGGATAAATATGGGCTAGATAAAACAACAAGGCAGACAGATAACTGGCTCAATAGCTGCAAGCAAAGGGTAATTATTAACCGGTCCATGTCAGAATGGCAGGAGGGTTTGAGTGGAGTCCCACAGAATTCAGTCCGTGGCCTGGTGCAGTTCAGTGTGTTTAATAAGGATTTGTATACTGGCAAAGGAAGCTTCCTGAGCAAGTCTGTGGATGACAAAACTGGAAAAGGACTGTGAACGATCTGGAGGATGCGAGTGCAATTCAGAAGGCTCTCAACAGACTGGATAGCTGGGCTAGAGCTAATGGGATGAAGTTAAATATGGACAAAGGCTACAACTCAGGAAAAATAACCAAAAGCACAAGGACAAAACAGGGAACACCTGGCTGGATGGGAAAGGACTGGGGAGTCTTGGTATAGGACGGTTGGGATAGGGATGATCCTGCCCCAGGCAAGGGGCTGGATTAGATGACCTCTGGAGGTCCCTTCCAATGAAGTAAAATTATAACACTCACAGTAATACTAATGGGAACCCAGTTAGGCCAGAGCTGACCAGTGTTGAAAATCCCACCCTATTGGTAGACAGGGAAAAGCCGTTAAGACTATCTGAAGTTACAGGGAAAAGACCCTTCAGCAGAGGCTCCCACTTTATTGAATGATAGAGGAAGGGATGGGTGCCCAAGGCTGGAGAAGCAGCGTAGGGAGAAGACAGGGAGAAGGGGATGGGAACAGAAAGAAGACACAGAGAAGGGAGGGGAGACTGGAGACAGGGGCCTTAGGCTGTGGGGTCACAGGCAGAAGGGGCAGGGGGTGCAGAGGCAGTGGGGGGCAGGCAGTTGCTGTGGCACTGGCCCCAACCTGGGGCCAGGGCTAAAGTTGGAGCCACAGCAGCTGCCCACCCTCCCTCCCCAACCCCCTGCCACCAACTTTCCTTGTACACAATTTGAAGATGAGGGGTTTTTTCTCCCACGCCTCATCTTGGAATTAAGTAAATATAGTAGTTACCAGATACACAATTTGGCCATTCATTTTCCAAGGCCCATTTAAAAACTGGATTTAGAAGAACATCTTTCCTACTAGCCAAATATAGTTTGTAAAAGAATGAATAGGGAAAAGAAGATCTAGGTAAGACAGTATCTGACATACAATTCCAATTAAAACTATAGCAATTATCACATTTACTCAAATTAAAGATGACCATTAATTTAAGAAGACCCCCCAATAAATAGATTCTATACATGGAAAAATTATAAATTTATAGTTTTCCATGTACACAATCTAATTTTTGGAGTGTCTTCTTTAATTCATCCCCGCCCCACAAGGGGGGCGGGGCAGGCAGTGGGGGAGCAGGTGCTTCTGCCTGTCCTCCAACAGCCTTGGGCATCCCTCCCCTCTCCTCACCCAGCCTCCACCTGCCTCCTACCCCCTCAGCCTCACTGCTATGGGGTTAGGCTGGGGCTGTGCTCTGTGCTCCAGGCTGCAGCATGGATGGAGCCTGCCAGCACGGAGCAAAAGTAAGAGGAGTGAAAGAGAGGGGCAGGCAGTGGAGCAGAAGCTCTACGGGGGAAAGAGGCTGCAGGGGGGAGATGATGGGATGCAGGGCGAAGGGCAGACAGCAGCTACAACCCCAATCCCAGGTAGGGGCTGGAGCCCAAGCCACAGCAGTCACCTGCCCTTCCCCGCTGCCCCCCCCATATACTATTCCAAGATAAGGGGCTTCCCCTTACCTCATATTAAATGAAGGGGCAAGGGGGAGCCTAGTAAACATGGTATATAAAATTTACCTTATTCACCACACACACACGTGCCCTAGTGAACAGCCTGATTTTTTCACTCTGCCTGAATAAAACACTGTTACTACTTCACCTTTTCTTAAGGCAAATAAAACCAGATGCCGTATTCTGTATTTGAAGTGCATCATAGGAAGCGCACAAATAGGATCCTATCTATCTTCAACAGGGGATGAAGACAGAAAAGAGGAGTAACCGGCCCCAACTTAGCAAAAGTTGTAGTTTTTTTCACTTCTATGACCAGTACCTTCACAGCACATCAGCATAGATGGATCTTCCTATGGGGGAGGTGAAAACGCAGCTCAAGTTTCCATCTGCAATAGTTTCTCAACTGTGCTATCAGTGTATCAGGAATGCCTGCCTCAGTGCCCTACCCCTAAACATCTGAGAGCGCCAATACAAAACACATCCTTGTTCTGTCTGCGTTCACATTTCATCATTTGCCTCTTAAGAAACAACTTCAGGTTTAGCAGCAAAGGACATAAAAGTGGTGTCTACTTTAAGATACTTTACTGACTTAGGGCAAATTCCTGGACCTACTGAAGTCAGCGCCATTGACTTCAAATGAGGCCAGTATTTCACAGTTCAATTTTATCTCCCCAATGCATGTAGCAGAGGTGACTAACATACTAAGTCCTGAAGCACTGTTCAGCCTTGTTAATTAGTTAGGAGGGACCAAAATAAGACTGAAATGCAATCTCTCTGAAGTGCAAGGCATCAGTTGCTGTCAGGGTCAGTGACTGCAAAGCTACAGATGAAAACAAGCAGCCAATCTTTTTCTTTGCTTCAATTTATTTTCATCTCCCCCTGACCTCATAACAGAATGCTAAGGTATAATACATCACTTGAAATCACTCCACGAAAGACTTTGTGGGAAATTGGTGAAGAACAGTAAGTAGAAAAATGCTGATTTCTACGTGTCTGCATCACACTGTAGGGAGGCCTGGGGTTTTAAAAACACCCTTCCTTCAGCACGATGATACTGGAATGATATAAATTCAGAGCTTGGAAAGCAATTTAAATAGCATATAGTTGTAGAATATCTGTGCTGGGAATCTCTTTTAGCAGGAGGTAAGAGATCAATTCCCCACTGAGCACAGAGTATAGGACGCATTCCTTTAGCTTTACTTCTTTTAGCTGCTGAAATACAAGTCTACATAAGCAGCAACTGCTTTCTACCCATCCCCATTTATCATCTCATTTACATAACCTATTCGCAAGTGGCAACCATACAACAAACTTGTTCCTAAAAGGTGCCCTCAAAAAGAAAGTCAGCAGGCTGAGGCAGCTCACCTGTGCTGAAGCCCATTTTGCTTTTTGCCCACCTTTCCTCAGGAATCTCAAGACCCTTTAAGTTGTACACAGCAAAAGCCTCCAAACCTAGGGTTTGCTCCAGGAGCTTTGACCTAAACTTTCTGAAACAGCTGGTGTTTTCTGGATTCACAGGCTGAGGGATCTTAAAGAGACCCGTCTTGCAGAAAGTACTGAACACCTACCCACTGAAGAGCAGGTTCCTCTTTAAGGGGCCTCTGAGGCTGGAGCCTCCAAAAACAGAGGCAGGCAAAATCACCTGGCACTTTTTTAGACGTACAATCACCTGACAAATAAGAGCTTCTGCCAGGACTGCACTAATAACGCTGAACGTTCGCATCTGCTTTTACAAGTAGTTTATGTTTTAAATATGAATGAAACATACCGCTCCTCTGGAGTCTCCACATGAAATGTTCTTTCAATTACTGTGGTCCACTGGAGGCATCTAATGATGAATGTGTTTGGTTTAGGTCGTTCTGTCTTCATCAGCTGGCATTCTACCACAATCAAGGAAGAAAGAGTCATGGTATATAAGCAGGTTTAAATAATCATTTGTCTTTATTCTTATCTAGCAAACTGTTGAGATTAATCAGCCATAGAAATCTCTGTAAGTACTTCTTCTGGAGACATGAGACAATTTAGTATGTTGATGAAACTAAAGCACAGCTTAAGTGACTAAGTTCTGTTTAAAAAGCCTTCCGAGGTGGCCAGCCCAGAGGTCTAACAGAAACGCACAGTGTGAAAACAGAAAAGATCCATATTCAAGTCTCACACCCCCCAACCACCGGGAGAAGAGCCCGCAGTACAGGCAGCTCTGGACAGGGCCAATGACTGCATCCACTGACAGTAATGGCAAAGCTCTCATTGATTTTAATGATAAAAAGATCAAGCTGTTAACGTTTAAGATGACAGTAGAGTGCATGTTTGTACTGACCATTCTGCAGAGACCTCTCTGGACAATGAAATATAAACAATCTTCCAAAAAGAAGGTGCTCATTATATGGATCAAACTGTAGTCAGGCACCCCAAAAAAAGACTTTCAATGCTTCATAAACACAGAAGGCAGTTGATGTGCAAACACCCCTATACAACACTCTGATGAAAGCTTGTACCACTGCAGACACTGCAATGCAGGCTAACAAGTCCATGAAGGGTGGATTATTTCATCACAGAGTAGCCTCTTTGTCCCATCATTCTCACCTCTTCCCTGCCCTCCCACCCCACTTCCAACACACCCAACTCCAAATTCTCTTGTAGGAATTGATTTTTAAAAAACAGCATGTTGACTATTTATTAAATACTAGCCAACTGCCCATCAAGAATGACCGGGGGGGGGGGGGGGGGGGGGGGGGGGGG